GTACTAGAAGTCCTAGCCTGAGCAATTAGGTAAGAGAAAGAAAAGGCACCCAAATTGGAAAAGAGGAAGTCAGATTGTCCCTTTTTGCAGAGGACATAATCTTATATTTAGAAAAGCCAAAAGATTCCACAAAAAAAACCTTTTAGGACTGGTAAGTTCAGTAAAGTTACAGGATATGAAATAAGTGTAAAAGTAATCAATAGCATTTCTATACACCAATAATGAAATAGCCAAAAAAGAAATTAAGAAGGCAATCCCACTTACATTAGCTAAAAAACAACAACAAAAAAACTCCCCAAAAAATAAACCTTCAGAATAAATTTCACCAAGGAGTTGAAAGATCTCTACAAGGAAAACTATAAAATACTGATAAAAGAAATTAAAGAGGATACAAATAGGAAAGACATCCCATGTTCATGGATTGGAAGAATTAATGTCTTTAAAAATGACCATATTACCCAAAGCAATCTATAGTTTCAGTGAAATTCATATCAAAATACTGATGCTGATTTTCATGAAAATAGAAAAAAACAATCCTAAACTTCACATAGATCCAAAAAAGAGCCCGAATAGCCAAAGCAATCTTGAGCAAAAAGAACAACGAGGCATCACAGTACCTGACTTCAAAATACATTACAAGCAAAACAGCATGGTATTGATATAAAAACAGACACATAGACCAGTGAGAAAAGAGAACTAAGAAATCACATATTTACAGCAAACTGATTTTCAACAAAACTGTCAAGAACACATACTGGGAAAGGGACACCCTCTTTAATAAATGTTGCTGGGAAAACTGGATAACTATGTGCAGAAGAATGTAACTGGACTCCCCCTATCTTTCACCATATACAAAAATTAATTCAAAATGTATTAAAGACTTAAGATCTGGAACTATAAAACTACTAGAAGAAAATACAGGGAAAACTTTTCAGGACCTTGGTGTAGGCAAAGATTTTATGGCTAAGACTTCAAAAGCTCAGGGAACAACAATAAAAAATAGACAAATGGGACAATATTACACTAAATTCACGGCAAAATAACAGAGTGAAGGGACAACCTGTTGAATGGGAGAAAATAGTTGCAAACTACTCATCTGACAGGGGACTAATATCCATTATATGCAGGGAACTTAACAGTGACAAAAATTTGGCTTTCCTATAATTATTTTCAGGAACTAGGATAAGACTTGCTCTTTATGGCTCAAACTCTAGCCAGCATCTTTGTTATAAATACTAAGAGATTAATTTTGGAGTAAAAATACATCTTTTTCTTACAATTTTAGTTCTTAAATAAGGAAACAAGCTAGGAAATTATTTGTGAAACTTCCTTTCTGGAGCACACGGTCTCCACCTTAATCTTGATGACCTGTGATTATTTTTTTAAGTGATTTCAAACTATTGGCTGTGTCCTTAGATTGGCATTAAGGAACAGCCTGGATATAAAAAGGGCTAGAAGCTGATAGTGTGGTAGAGTGCTGAGAATGAGGGAGCCTGGATGTTATGACAATCACATGACTTCTTAGATCAGATCATATCTGACATTTATTGCTCTTGGTCAGAAGGCACTGTACAACTTAAGAGCAAAGCATAGAGACAGGGTTAGCTGACTCATGTTATATCTGTATTCTGCCATGTGATTTTAAAACTACAACTTAAAGGTCAAAGAAGGAAGTTAGTGAGTTTCCCAGTGTAGGAAGTAGATAATATTGTGGAGTTTATTGCATAAGAGTAAATGTAAGATGAGTTTGTCACTATGTCATATGAAATATAATGTCAGAGGAGTGCTTTTCAAACTAATGTGTTCATGAGAATCATTTACTGCTCTTTCTACAGTGCAGGTTCCCATTCTGTAGGTCTGAGCTCCCTCGTTTCTGATAAGCTTCCCTGGAGCTGCCGATGCATGGTTTGAACATCGAGGGTCTGGCTGGGGTTCCTATCTTTGGGGCTACAGAACTCTAAGAAACTGAGGAAGGCTGTGGACCCTCAGAACAGTGAATCTTCCCTCTGCCCTTGGACCCCGCTTACCACCACACCCCAATGCATGTGATTTCAGGGAGTTTTGTGAAACCTTTGAAACTCAACCTGGCATCTTTAGTAGAAGTATCTAAATCAAAAGACACTTGTATTACATAACAGTCTTTCAGTAGCTCTCCTAATGCTTTTATAGAATGCATGTTAACTTAAAACTAGGAAAGCACCGTGGTAGTTACCTATAGGTTAGAATACACGATCACGTGGAGGGCCCTTGAAATTTAGCTGCTCCAATGGTGTAAAGTTCTGAGATGTGGACTTATGGAATCTCTGGCTTCCAGCATGAGTGGTAGGCATGGAATGACCCACGTTGCATCATTTTATAGGCAAGACTTGACAAATTAGTGTGAGTACTACCGTGATCACTTCTTGTAATCCTAGATACCCAAATAATTTTGTGTTCATGAGAGGTATTTGTTCATAATAGTGGTTTTATTATTCAAGATCTGGACACCTTAGGTTAGTGAGTGACTGATAAATGACCCACTACAGGAATGGAGGATGTGGCAGTCTGTGGTGTAAATACATCTAGTGTGTTTAGTTCTCTTGCTGGGCAGGACAGTGCTTTTGGTGCTTGAATGCTGTAGGAAAGCTGTAATTTTATGAAGTAATTTTTAAAAGTGCTTTTTCCTGTTTGGATTGAGATGGAGTTGGTTGATATGTCTTTGAAGTCTCTTTAACTTACAGGTTTCCCTTTCATCTTTATACTCTTTGCAGTTAGTTGTCATACTGGAGTCTGCTGGGTCATTTATCTGGTAGCTGGATTTTGCTCATCCCCTCCCCTGATGATTTTGGCATGCTCCCACCTAATTTGTCTTTCCTCGTGGTTCCTTGTAGATCAGTTCTGGATCAGAACCGGGCTGTTCAGGTGAGGGAGGGACCAGGCAGCTGGGGCAGTGGTGCTGGTATGTCTTTTAGGACGAATATCGTGCCTGATTGTCCCACAGCAGCTGGGCTGGTAGCTAGTGATGGTGACTCCCTACAGCCGTTAATTCAGCAGAGGTGACAAAATATTTTTATTTTATCATTTTGCTCTTCATTTTTTTAGCTGGAATATCTCTAAAAGAGAAATTTCCTTTAATAGCTATTAATATTCGATTACGTTGAAGTTCATAGGAAATACAGGATAGATGATTGACTGTTTCTCTTTACTTAGCAGATTTCAAAATGAGACAGATCCTTTGATCCTTCAAAGGGGAGCATTGAGTTTTTATTCTTTAATTACCAGTTTATGTGCGTAAGTGTTTCTATTGCAGTTTTTATCCTTTTTGCTGTCCAAATTTCTCAACTTTGGCCAGCAGGAACTTATTCAGGTTCGCTCCTGGGTCCTTTTGACATGGCCCTTGTGTTAGTTTTCTCTTACTATGTATCAACTTACCCCAAAACTTAGTGGCTTAAAACAATGTGTATTATCTCACGTTTCTGTGGGTCAGGAACCTGGGTAGGGTTTAGCTGGGTCCTCCAGCTCAGGACTCTCATAAGGCTGCAGTCAGGGTGGCCTGCCAGCTCCCCGGTCACCTTCCTGGTCACGTCCCTGATCGTGTCCTGGTGTGGCTAGAGGTGCAGGCACTTCCTGGCTCGCCAGTGTGTTGCTGGCAGCCCCCTTTCCTTGCTGGGTGGGTCTCTCCACAGGGCTCCTTGCTACCTGGCCACTGGTTTTCCCCCATAGCCGGGGCCCCAGGAGAGAGCACAGGAGAGAGCCAGTAAGACAGAAGTTATGGTCTTGTAACCCTGGGAAGTGCCAGGTGTGTCGGGCATGTTTGTGTTCTAGTCGCTGGAAGTGACTCCCTAGGCCCAACCCACACTCACGGTGGCAGGGGTGTGTGAGTGGGTGGAGGGGGTCACACAGGACATGGGGATCCAGGGGATCATCCGGAGCCATTCTGGAAGTTGCCTTGGGCCAATCCCAGTCATCTTTGATAGAGTTCCTGCTTTCTTGTGGGAGGAGGTGGTTCAGATATTTGGATCGAGTCATTTCTTGACTGTGGGTAAGAAATCTTGACTTACTTTAGTGAAAAATGGTATTTATAGGCTATAAATTGAGCATAAAATTCTAGGCTTTTTCAGTGAACAAAGCTAAGGAGTATTTTATTTTATTTTTTTGCAATTTCAGATAAAGTTCATGCTATTAAATATTTCCCATTCAGATTCAGGACTCCTTAACCTCGTCAACCTTATGTTTCTATTTCCATCTAACCACTTGAAAACCTTGGTTCTCAAGGGCACTAACATAATTACTCATGTGTTATCCCACAGTATACAGAAATCTCAGAATAATGACACTTTACCACCAAAATATGATTATTAAAAATGGTTTAAGATTTCTTCGTGGTTCTTTTTCTCCTTAGGATATATCCTATTACATTATATAGTCAAATTCCTCTATACAGTCATAATTGAAATAGTTTCTCACTGTGTGGTGTACAATTAAGTTCGCTTCAACTTTTAAGTTTTAGGTTGTTTAAAAATTTTTTTGTTTCATTTTTCCATAAATTATTTTTATCATTATAAAGATGACCTACAGATCAATATATAGTCACAGAAATCAAGCTTCTGTCCTTGTCCCCTCCATTGCATTTTCTTCTTTCTCCGTAGGTAGCATTTTAAAATACAAGTGGTACTTTCCATGTGTGCATTTCTCCACCTTGTGTTCTTCACTTACCAGTGTATCCGTGTGGCCAAGGCAGTGTATAGGGATCTTCCTGGTTCCTTGTTCAAAGGCGTAACACCCCTTCGTTGTAGACGTGTGGTCATTTATTCTAGAGAACTACAGTCTTTAGGAGTTCTCATGATTCCTGTTCTTCTGTTTTCTGGGAAATGCAGTTTCTGGATGGATATAGAATGGAGGTGGGAGGAGGGGCCGTGCCCTGGCTGCTTCTGGAAGCAGCACCTGCTTGGAACCATTCCAATTTTCTTCATAGTTTTCACCCTGGGTAGAAGGATCAGGTGTCTTTCTCTTTGTAACCAGGTGGGTGGAGCTGCTTTTTTTCATGAGTCACGGCCCTTCATGGTGTCTGTCATTTCATTTACCCTCCTTTTGACTAACAGTTGGAAATTCTTCCAGATTTTGACAGCACATTGTTTCTCAGTTGTACTTTTTGACGGTGGCATCTATTTTGTGTGTCTCCATGTTTATGTTAGGAAGGATTTGGGAAGAGTGGTCTCGGGGATTGCCTCTCAGATGCCGTTTAAAAACAAACGCCCTGTGTAAAAAGTAAATAAAACAAGTGGTTTTTGTTTTGTATTGTTTTTAACAGTCTTTTCTCTTCTAACCAATACTGAATTATTTTTGTTGCAGGGAAAGGGACTTGGAGGCCAAGTTCATTATTCAGATGGAGAAAAGCAAAACAACAATCACAAACTTAAAGGCAAGTAGTGACTTGGTCTTGCTTCAGTTCCAGGAGCCTGTGTTTGCTTTGCTGTGAGGATGACTGTGGGTAAATAAAGCACGCCTGCCGTGTCCACGTGCCTCCCTTCTCAGCGAGGTTAGCCGCATCCGCTGGCTCCTGGCCTAGGCTCAGTCCTGAAGTGCAAGAGTTGATCCCCTATCTCCTCTCCCATTCCTGGTTTTATTCGATTTGGGAGCCAGACCTGAGCTGTCACTCTGGTCCCTGAGCCCACGAGTCTAGCCCAGACCTGGGCATTTCCATCCTGTGTCCTTGTGGCAGAGCCTTAGCCTGGTGATTGACTGCTTTCTGCGATCAGTAAGCAAGATTTGGCCCTAGATTTGTTTCCATTTTTAATGAAAATCATCATGCTTTGTAATCATTGAAGAAGAGCTGGTATTAATACTATTCAAAACCCAGCAGATGAAATTTTTTTTTTTAGAAAACTCTTTCCTAGAAAAAAATAGTGAAAAAAAGAAATTTTCAAAGATGATAAGTTCTTCCTTTTGCACTGAAACTATCCTATTTGTTTGTTTGGTCAGCAGGTTTGTTAAGGACCCTGCGAATACTTTTTGCTTAGTGGGGAAGCAAGGATATAGAATTAATACTAAAGAACCCACGTGCTTTATGGGGTCAGCACCTTTTTCCTTCGCTATTTGTCATTAACCTTTAAGTTTGGGTTTCTGAGGCCTGCTGCGCTGTGGCCAAGTACAGATGCGTCTCCTGTTCATGTCTGAGGAACGGACTTCTCTTAATTCGTGGCTCAAGGGACTGGACGCTTTGAGGTCCCATTTCAGAGTACTGCAAGTTGATCTCCAGTGATAGAAGCTGCGGAATGCTCCAGTCCTCAGTTGGGCAGCGCTCTGGATCATTTGACAGGCCTTCTTTAAGACTCTGGTGTTTCTTTGCCTGAAGGACATTCTTCACTAGAATGTTCTTTCTCAGCTTAGCACAATCCTTGTGTGTTCCAGCTCTGTCTGGCCTGCCCTGAGCTTTCCACCCTTTGGCCTCCCGCATGTGCTCGCATTTCTACCAGTCATCACTTGTGCACCCCCTGGTGGCGGTTACCTTTCCTTTGCCTCATGTATCTTTGTCTGCTCACCGTGCTTTGGTAAAAGACTCTTGGCCTTGGGTGAGTCTCCTTTCTTTGTGCATCATGGAATCTATTTCCCTCAATTATGCTGTTGCTTTTTGGGTTTTACAAACATTTTTCACCTGATGTTTGAGTAACCAGAACAGATGCCCAGATTTTTAAAGTTTTGACAAGGATCTTAACAACTTTTTCTTTATAATATGTGAATCATGTTGGAAAATACCGTACTCATTGAAAGTTATTCAGTGCATGTCCAGGGAACTCTTTGGGGCTTTGTGGGAATATGGAGATTTTCAACATGGTTTTGGGGTTTCACGTCAAGCATATAGCAAGGCAGACAAGATAAAAGCAAACATCTATAATGATGATGTGTCCTGAGAGAGGCTGGATTGTCAGAGGTGGGAGAAATTATTTCTGTGTGGAGTGCTAGAGGGAGGCTTCATGAATGAGGAGCCATCTGACCTGGTATTTTGAAAGGGAACAGCAAATCATACAACTCTAGGAGGTGCCAACCTCATCATGATCTTTGTGAATAGCACCCCCTGGAGTTATGCAAAGCCCAGCTCTGGAGGATTTAGGAGGAGGAAACAGTAAATGAAAATGATTGAACCCAGGGAAAAACATAGACTCTGGCTGGAGCATTGCACCCTTAGAAGTTAATAGTGATAAATAAAGCCAGAATAGTCTTCCTGGGTCACAGAGAACTTGGATTGCTGGGAGGAGTTTAGGTTGTATTTAAGTTTTATTTATTTAGCTTTTTTTTTTGAAGCCAGGAGGAATTAAATGCTTTTTAGTCAGGGTGTAAACTTGGAAAGTTGTGATCATTTAATATTTTTTAGAAAGATAAAAATTTTTTTTCCGGCTATTTGGGTCACCTGTCAAATGGCAATGCTCTTTATGTTATTGTTATTATTCTATTTATGTTATTTTGTTGTTATTATCATAATCATCTCTTTCTAGATACCAGAAGGAGGGACTGGGGACTCAGGAAGAGAACGGACCAAGACCTTCACCTATGACTTTTCTTTTTATTCTGCTGATACAAAAAGTCCGGATTATGTTTCACAAGAAATGGTATGATTTTTTCAAAATATTTTGATTTACTTTTATGTTGAGAAAAATATGCCCACCTTCAAATACTTTAAACATCTTGCTATTTTTTTCTGAAAATAATTTATATAAAATTAGCCTTTCCTAACTTAGTCTTTTGGATTGTTATGTAGGACCATTTATTTAAACGTGAGAAGAATTCAGTTCTTTAAAGTTTTTTTTTTTTTTCACCTTTGAGCATGATCATCATAACTTTTAATTTATGTCAAATCTTGGACATGGCTCCTGTTTTGAAGGAGCTCTATAAACAATGCCTTTTTTGGGGAGATATTTGTATGCTGCTAAGCCTGGTAAATAAGCCACTTAATCTTGAGTTCTTCTACAATGTGGAGCTTTAGGAGGTAGGCTTCAAACCCAAGTTACGTTTCCCCTGCTTGTGTGGGTCATTGTGTGGGTTCTCGAAAGGATTCCAGAAAAAATGACTGTTTCATCCAGAATGTTTCTAGAACCTAGAATGATACTAGAATTTGTCCAAGAAACCTGCCTTGTAGGCTTTTAAGGGCTGAAATGAAGATGTGAAGTGGGCAGATAAGAACAGACACAAAGGTGCCCCCAGGAGACCATCAAGACACTGATGTTGACATTTGACATTAGCAAAAGGACAAGAATATTTCCCTGGGTGGGGAAAAGCTGGGTGTTTGAGCAGAGTGGGGTTATAGGGAGAATTAAGGGTGAGTGGAAAAGTACAAGCTTCATCACTGGGTCTCTTCTTGGCTTATCAACAGCTTCTTTAGATACATTGCTTCAGGTCTCCATGTGTTAACATAGGGATAAGATTTCCTGTCCTGCCTGCCTTGGGTTGTAATCTATGCAGTGGCATCGTGAAAAGTAGAGCCTAAAGATAGTACTAGTTCCTTGCAGCTTAAAGTGTGTCTGTGTACCAGAATCATTGACTTGTTGGCCTTGCTGGGAACCTTGTTAGAAATGTGGAATCCCAGTACCTATTTCAAACCTATTGAATAAGATTTGCAAGATTCCCAGTGATTTGCACGCACCTTACATTTGAGAAATGTAGATAGTTGCGAACTGATTTATGGAGGAAATTGGTTTTCTGAGGAAATGTGTAATAAGTGTTGAAGTTAGAGGATTGGAGTGGCTGTATCCAGAAGATTGAGGCAAACATCAGAGAAAAATAGGAACCGGGCGTGGTGGTGTGTACCTGCAGTCCCAGCTGCATGGGAGGCTGAGGTGGGAGGATCACTGGATAATGAGACCCCTGTCTCTAAAAAAACAAACAAAAATTAGGGAAAAAAACCCAAAAACATAGGGAGAAATAGAAAGGGATGGCAGTGATGGGAATGGGAGCCACACAGAGAGGGATGGTGTGCCTGGGGTGAAAGGGAGTGGAAGAGGAAAGATGAACTGATGCTGCTTCAGTTTGCTTTGGTGTCAGAAACTCTGCTTACTGTTCATCTCCTTTAATCCTCACAAGAACCAAGTGTGGTAAATTTTAACTACATTTTTCTTTGTCGAAGAGACTTAGTGTAAGGAACTTGCTCAAGTTCATAAACCTAATCGGCTTTTAATAGTAGCAGAGTCAAGACCTGGGGCTGTTGTACAGGGCAGTGAAGATGCCACTGGAAGGTCTTGAGGCTGTGGGAGAAAGGTCTGGTATGTTCTAGATGACAGATGGGTAGGGCAGCCCTACTGAATGAATAAATGAAAGAGCGAGTGAATGAAGATGACTTTGGTGTCAAGGTGACTGGATTGGCCAACATTGGTAACTAGAAGTCTGGTGAGGAGTAGAATGCTGTAGATATTGGAATCTAGATTTTGGCTTTAATTTGGGAATGAGAAGAAAGTGGCAGGTATGAGGGAATTTGTTAAGGGAAAAACCAGTTCATTATAGTGATCTTCAGAATGGCTTCACCAGAGGATGAATGAAGAACCTTGAAGGTCTTCACTTCTAATTTATCTAATGAGTTGCTGGATTTCCCAACCCCCCTGTTTAACCTGAATTTGAGGTCTTCTGGGGATAGGGCCGTCCAGGTAGAGGGAAAGCCCAGGGTTGGAGAAGTAGAGTGTTGTCTGACAGCGGGGCCCTGCACACTGGAGATGCTCAGGAAATGTTTGCTGACTGAATGAACTTGTTTACAGTTGGTGCTTAATTTATGGGAGCAGATGACATTTCCTGGGTTTTACAAGCACCAAGATCAGGGAAGCAATGACAAGTTTAGCTCTTTGGAAGTTAAAAAATAGATGTTCAGAGTTTAAGAATAGTTTAACATTGCGAAAAGCTTTGGGCCAATAAGGATAACTTTAATGCTGTAGTTGTATGTGCAGCATCTCTGCTCAGATGCTTTGGGGCTTTAATTTTATATGAATAACCTGAGATTGTTCCATTAAATTACAAAACTAGAAAAGCCTTGAGATATGTTAGTAAGCACTACTGTCTAGTAGAACCATGCGAAAGATTCGCTTGAGGAGAGATCTTTCCTCATCCCTAATTTTATACCTGTTGTTACTAAGAAGGGGTTCAATTTTGAATATTCACAGTAGTTTTCATGCTGCTATTTCAGGCATAGAAAGTGAGCTGACAGGTCGTATTCCTGCTTTACATGGGAAGATGTGAGGGTAGCGTGATGCTGGCGCCTTTGTTTTTTAAAAATCATTTGTAAAGGCACATTGAGAAAATATATTATGCTTATCACTATAGTTCAAGTCAAGTTTCCCTTAATGCTAAATAAATACCAGGTAAGATGACCATTAATGTTTCTTCCTTCCAAATTAATTTTAGAATTATTAATAGAAAAATAAATCAATGAGCAATTTAAATCCACAGTCATGTAAATTAAAGACCATTAAATAAGGTCTAATTTTCTTAATGGTTCTTAGAAACTCCAAAGGGAGGCTTTGATCTCACTCAACCTGTTCCGCAATTCAACCCTGGAGAAACTTGAAACCTAACATCTCCCAGTTGTCGAGCTAGTTGGGAGAGTCTTTGTTTTAACAGTGCCCTCTTGTGGGCAGTTTCCCCTCCAGTGAATGCCTTGGGTTCCTCTGAAAATCAGCTTTAATGTCTGTGCTCTGACAAGCAGGAGGTGGATTTCGGGTAGTCAGGCCAGGTGCAGGAGATCTCAGCTGGGTTTTGGTGCTGGTGGTGGAGGAAGAGTGGGTTGTCAGCCTCATGAAGCAGATCTTCCTTTGCCATGTTGGTGTGGGAGCTTTGATGGGACAGCCTGATTTGCTCTCCAAGACCCCTGGGAATGCAGGCAGTGTCTGCTGCTGCTTTGGGTCCCAACCCTGACATCCCTGGGTGGGTTACTTGCAGCTGAGACTGAGCCAGGCTTGGGTCTGTGTCCCTCAGGCCTGCATCTTCCCACCTGTTCTCAGTCTTGTCCACCAGCCCCAGGCCCCCAAGACCCTTGAATCTGTCAGAAAAACTCCTGGGGCAGCTTTCTGGACAATAAAGCAATAGTAAAATGGTAGGTATAGATTTTAACCCTAGGGAGGAGTTTTGTTCTGGAAAGCTTTGTGTTTGGTTTAAATATAATATTTCCCATGACTGTGTTAGCTCTAGACCAAACTATGAGAAAAGATCCTCCTTTTTTTCCTTTGAGAAGTTTATGGAAGTGTTTTTTCCTCTCCAGAGAACTCACAAAAATGATATTTGCCTTTTATATTTTGTTTAATCACAGAGAATCAGAGAAATATTTAGAGTTTTTACTCACATTCCATACACAGTGCTGAAAATGGACCTTGGCCAGGTGGTCTGGAGTCCTAAGTGTTTGGGATTTCTGGCTTCTGTTTCTTGACAGACATTTGGGGAGGGGCCTGTCCAGGTGGGACTTGGGGCCTTGTTGTTGATTTAGAAGACGTGGGAAGAGGACATATAGTGATGGGAAAGGCCTGGGTGCCATCCCAGCTCTGCCTCTCACTGGATGTGCCCAGTTACCTGACAGTTACCTCTCCCCCTTCAGCTTCCTCTTCTGAAAAGTGGATCTAGCAACACTGCTCATGCTGAAGTGTTTCTATGAGGATTGGTACATGGACATGTGAAAGGGCATAGGAATAGGAAGTGCCCAGTACGTGTGAGCTACCATGATAGTTGAGATTGAGTAGGTCATCAGAATCTGAGACTAAGATCAGAAACTACCAGCTCCTAAAGCTGAAATGGTTAAAACCTAACTCAGAATGAATGAGACTGGCCGATTGCGGAAGTGACTCAATTGAAATGATAGTTTCTGAACCTTTTCCTGATGGAACGGGGAAAACAAAGTCCAAGCAAGATGGTGGGAGGATGGCGCCTGAAGAAAGCCGAAGTCCAGTTGGTTGTATTTTTATCTCATCGTTGGATGACAGGCTTTGTCATTAATCGGGATGGTTTGTGTCCAGCTAAGTTGAAGATGGCCAGATTTATAGGCCCTGTGAGGAGAGTGGGTGTTCAGGCCAGGGGGCCCAGATGCCTGCAGGGGAGTTGTCCCCGGGCGTCCCCTCTGCTGCGGGCCTGTGTGCACATCCTGACGGTAACCTGGCTGCCACACCGAATCCCTGGGACTGCCCAGGGCCAGTAGCAGATGAGGGTACTCTAGACCACTTCTCAAATTTTGCTGTACTTTGAAATCACTTGGGGAGTTTAGAACAGTACTGATTGCTGGGTTCAAACCCCCTTAGATTCACTTTAATTGTGCTGGGTTACCAGCCTGGCCACTGGACTTTTCAGAGCTTCCCAAGTGATTCTCAAGTGCAGTGAGGTTTGAGACCTGCTGCTCCCGGAGGCTTGGCAGGAGTCAGAGATGACTTTCTGGTTGATCCACTTGGGTCTCCTGAGCTTGGATGTTGTGGCATCACTCACAGACTGAATGCTCCTGCGGGGCTTGGTGAGGTCCCCACCTTGGACTGGGGGGACTCCACCAAGGAGCCCTTCACCCTTTCATGGCTCTGGCTGAGAACCTGACCGAGCTCTTCCCTCTGTTTGACACCCCTTCAGCTGCTGATGTGCCTACCTTGTAAAGCAGGGAGATGTTTTACGTGCCCATAGTGTGCTGGGCTGAGGGCAGGAGGAGATGGGAAAGCATTGGCTCTTCCCTTCCCAGCTGGGCAGCACTCGGACGACCTCACATCTTGATTCGCCTCATTATAGTTGTCCGGGGGAAGTATTTGTACCATTCACTCCCCAAATTGCAATTATGTGGTACATGGACTCTGGCCATTGTAGGTGTGACCCCCAGTCCCACACAGCTTGTCTCCTCCCTTCTACATCCTGGGCAAATGTCCAAATAGGAAAAAGCATCTGGGCACTGATGTGGGTGAGCCCAGCCATCACTCAGCTCGGTGAAAACCTGCAGAGGTTTATTTTGATGAATAGCTGGACTCTTAAAATGATGGCATTGATTTGGCATGGGCTGGGCAGTAATTTCCGGCTTCTGTGACCTTCAGGTTTTGCATATTTAGTTCCTGGAAGCTCTAATAGAATGAATAGCTTTATAAATTTATACAATTCTGAATAGTAAATCATTATGCTTTAAAATCATCTTTGCTTCTAGACACGATTGTCCCTTGGCTTTTTTTACAGTTTTATATTTCAGGACTTCTTTTGTAAACTTAAGTAGGAAAAAGGATGGAGTTGCTCTTTGCTTGCTTCAAAAGTTATTTTTGATTAAAAACTGGGGTACATACATATTCTGTTTTTAACGGTTCGGCAGTGACTTATTTATATGGTGTAATCCTTAAGAGATGAAAGTCACATTCAAGAATATTGTCAACACTGAAGGGGCTTTTATTAAAATCCATAGTAATTGTATCTTTTGTGTGTTTTTTTGGCTTTCAGGTTTTCAAATCCCTTGGCACAGATGTCGTGAAATCTGCATTTGAAGGTTACAATGCTTGTGTCTTTGCATATGGGCAAACTGGATCTGGAAAATCCTACACGATGATGGGAAATTCTGTACGTTGTTTATACTGTGTGGGGAGGAAAGTTCTCATTATCTTTATCTGGATGGACAGAATTATCTCTTTTATCTACTTGGTCTGTACTAACTTGCTTTCTGTGTTCTGATCATTCTTTAGTAATGAGATAAAACTCAGTAATAAGTTAGGCTAAATTTCCTTTGAGAGATTTTAAATTAGAAATAGTTTTAAGTTTATAAGCATGAATAATGAATGCAAGTCCCAGTTCATTTTCTGTTTTTAAAGGCCTTATAATCTTATCAGAAAAGTATGCTGGGCCCATAAGTAATTTATTCTTCCTTTCTGCCAACACAACAGTTTGAATAAAATTACTGAAATCTGTTCTTTTTAAAATTATTCAAAACATTTTTGCACCAAGAAAAATGTAAAAAAAAAAATCTAACTTTTTGTTGGAAGGGTATTACATGAATCCTGCAAATATATATATATATATATGTATATATATATATATAAGTTATATAGCTTAGTATGTTCTGAGAAATGTGTCTAGGTGGACAAAAAATAAACATAGTGTGTACAGTTTAGTAGTTCAGTCATGTAAATTAACAGACATTAATGTTATGCTTGTACCCAAATATGGAGGATTAGAACCTAGACATTATCAGAGGAACTTTTTATCTCATTCCAAATATGGAGGATTAAAATCTAGAATTTTTTATCTCATTCCGTGTTTTTTCCAGATTTAGATTATGCTCGTGTGTTTTATTTTTCTTGTGTCATAGCGAATGCTCTGTCCAGTGCCTGCCAAGCCTGTGGCATGGTCTGGATGTGGAGATGCTAGCCGAGGACCGAGGGCTTCCTGCCAGCAGGCATGCGGTATCTTCTATGCTAAAAGTTTTGCAGTTCATGGAGTAGTGTCTTAGAGAACAGGTCTTTACAGATGGAATTATTTCAGTGCATGTAACTTTGTTTCTTAAGTCCAGGCTTTCCCTTTGTGTGAGAGATTGATAAATGCTGGCCTATGAGTCCTCAATGCTGAAAAGCAGGGAAGAACAAATAGAAAATTTTAAGAGTTTCACATTTCCTTTTATCATTATTTCTCTCTTTGTCCTTTCCTACTGTGGCTTTGTGGGTGGGGGAGGGACGGGGGGGGGACCCAAAACCTCTAAAAGTGAAATTTGCATGTTGATTCCCTGGTTGTTATTTAATGTAAGTTAAATATTTATAAAGCACTCAGAAATTACAAGTGTTTTTCTCTGACATCATAGTTGAGTACTGCTTGGGTATACTTTTTATTTAAAGTGGGAACTAAAAATATGATGAAAGTCTTATTTTTCCTTGATAAGAATTGGTGCTGATTTAATGGTACAAAGAAAAAAAAATCTCTTAAAGCAGTGCAATTTCTTTTATTTTGTGAGTGGGGGTTGGGTGAAGGTAGGGAGGAACTTGCGAAGAAAACACTGAAGCTCTGAAGTTTGGTTTCCTGACAACAGTTTTGCCTGATCTTCAGTGTCATTCTGAGGCTCATCAGTTTGTAAATGTTGATTTAAACGTGAATATTATTGAATGTTATACCCACATTGCAGAGGTAATATGGTATATTAAAATTTTCCTACCTAGGAAGTCCAGTGTAGGGATTACTATTTATATATTAAAGGAGGGACATAGTATGTGTTTTAATGTGGTCCTGTCACCTAAGTTTTAAGTCAGTTATTAACTGCTTTGAGGACTTTTTAAGGTTTTCTTGGTGTTCCTTTACTGCCTGGTGTGTTTTACCGTCTTTGGTCATTTCACCAGATATTTTTTAACATTTATTCTACAGCTGTAGAGTGTCTCATTTGAAAGTTAGAGAATGAGCCTCTTTATGTTTGCAAGCCATGATTTAACTGATTAACAGCTGATAACCATGTATTACCAAAGTTCCAGCTTGTAGAAATCAAGATGGCTCAATCCTCTATTTCAGAGAGTAGGAAGCAGTCCTGGAGCAGGTAACGGTGTGTCTGGGGTCCCGATGTGGTTGGCCAGGGGCTCACATGCAGGCCCCTTGAGTGTGAGTCTAATCCAGCAAATGGCAAATTCAGTCATCAGCTGCTTTTATTTCAAGTGACAGGTGTGACATTCTTCCTTCCCATTGTAGGGCGATTCTGGCTTAATACCTCGGATCTGTGAAGGGCTCTTCAGTCGGATCAGTGAAACCACCAGATGGGATGAAGCATCTTTTCGAACCGAAGTCAGGTAGGGCCAGTGGCCTGAGTTACTGAGTGTGAGCTTGGTTGGAGTCAGGGGTGCTTGGCTTGCTTTTAGGCACTAGGAATGGATAAGGCCTAAAGAAAGAGTCTGCCCCTTCTTCTCCTGTACTTATGGTAGTTGGGAATAAAGCTTAAAACATTGAATAAAGCTTAAAACATGATTTTCAATGAAAGTTTTCAATGACTTTCATGGGTACAATTTGGATAAGGATTTGGGAGGCTGGTAGAAATAACATAACTTGGTCAGAAACTAATGCAAGATGTTTATCTCAAATGGAGTGAGCTTTTTGACTTTTAAGTGTATACCCGATTACTTTCCTCATTCTTTAACTTAGTAAGGTTTGTTTGTAGTATTCTTTATTTTAGTAGGATCACTATAGATCTAACCTATAAATCTGAGTGCTTGAGGTGCTTTTTCTTCCTTGAAATGAAACCTGTGTTGGGGGCCAGTCTCTTTAATTAGTTTTAAGGGTAGAAGGGGCAATTTAGGGTTCTCCCAGCTGCTTGACTGCTGTGTGGCCTTGGATAAATTATTTAAATCACCCTAAACCTCCCTTGCCTAACCCGAAAATGGGGATAGTAGTGGTACCTACCTTTGGGTTATTGCAGGGATTCAATGAAATAATCCACGTCATAGCTTAGCATAGCACAGTAGGTCTTTACTTCATGTTGTCTTATCAATAGGTTCTTGGAAACTGCTACTTTAACTGAAATGACATGTAATGAAACCAATTTTTTTTTCTCATCATTATAATGAAACAGTGTTGAAGGAAACGTTATTCAAGTACCTGCTATGCTTCATTTCTCTTAGAATCCTCCTTTCCAAGAACCTGTCAATGATGTTAAGTGAGGACTTGTTGTACCTGATATGTAGTTACCATCCATAAACATATGTTGCTGCTCTGTGGTGTTATTGTTATTAATGCCTGAAATCATTTTTCTGAATTCAATGTTATTTAAAATTTTTAGCTACTTAGAAATTTATAATGAACGTGTGAGAGATCTACTTAGGCGGAAGTCATCTAAAACCTTTAATTTAAGAGTCCGTGAGCATCCCAAGGAAGGACCTTATGTTGAAGGTAAGAGTGAATATTTTACAGTCCTATTCTTCTTGGGAATTTGTGTAAAAATGACACTTTCAAAGAAAAAAGTAGCATGATAGTAAGATTTTAAAAATGTGTTTAATTTTGGAATTTTATTAGAGTAAAAAATGTCATGAGCTTTCACTACCCAGTGGTCATTTAGTGAATTCATACTTCGCTGGGCACCCTCTACTTTTATGAGGCTTGTGAATAGATTTCTTCTGGCTTTAAGAAATCTCTGGAAATTTGTTTCCTAATGTTCTCAAGCAAGGTAAGCAAGCCTATCACTTGTCTCTTTAAATAGCATTGCATTTGAGCAGTATATCTTTACTGATCCTAATGATAGTATATGGCAAGAAAAATATTCTAAGATCTCTTACCTGGTAAAAGGAGCATTTACAGGATTTCCTGTATGTATTGTGATACACTAGTTGTGGCATAGTCACTTTGAGGAATGCCACACTAATTATTTTAAAGCATAGACTGGATTTAAGGCTATCTCTGTAATGACACTAATCTCACTCTATATAAGGTTACTTAGTAATGGCTGAATGGCTGGCCTGTACAAATCACACACAGATGTGCTTTCGTGTCCTTCATGTGTGTCTCTTTAGGGGCAAATACTGAGAACTGGTCATGGGTTTAAAGTTGTTCCTGGTTGTGGTTGTTGTTTTTACCTAGAGCTATCAGGTATATCAATAGGACCCTAACTGTTATTTATTAAATTTCAATTTGAACTTTTGCCTTCTGTGCCCAAAGCAGGGTGTGCCATTATGTAGTTGTTTTGTGGAATAGCTATTACTGTTAATGCACTGTTCAGGTGATGGGTACACTAAAAGCCCAGACTTTACCACCATAAAATATATACATGTAACGGAATTCTGCTCATACCCCTTAAATCTTTTAAAATAAAAAAAATTAAAAAATATTTAAAAATAGGTTAGACTAACATGTGCCTTTATGTTTTCCCTTTGATTGTCTTATCAGATATTAAGACATACAAAACTGGTATATGAAGTGACAGAATACTCAAACAGAGTAAACATCCAGGGTGTGACCTCTGACCTAGACTTAGTTTTTAATGAATGTGCTATTCAAACATTGGCAGAAGTATTGGGAGGATTATTAAGCCATCTGGGAGGGAAAAAAAGTAAATTGGTACCATAGCTCAATTTGTACTCCAGAATAAATGGTAAATGGATCAAAGATTTAAGAGTAAAATATAGATAATTAAATGACTACAAGAAACCATGGGTTAATTTTTTTCAAGAAACTTGGAGGAGGGAAGGCTTTTTAAGACTTGACTTAAAATTCAGAAAATACAAATAAAAGATGTTAAATTTGAAATGGTAAAAAATATAAATAAATAAAACTTTATGCTTGGTAGACATACTGCAAGCAAAGTAAAAAGCTTAATTGCAAAATAGGGAAAATATTTTCAGTATAAGTTTCAGACAAAGGACTTATTTCCCTAATATATAAAGAGCACCTATAAATCAGTAAGTAGAGATCCAACATACAAGTAGAAAAATGGACAAAGGATGTGTCTAGACCAGGTGTCCTCAGACTACGGTCTGGGGGCCACATGCGGGTGTTTTTGCCCATTTGTTTTTCTTACTTCAAAATAAGATATGTGCAGTGTGCATAGGAATTTGTTCATAGTATTTTTTAAACTATAGTCTAGGCCTCCAATGGTCTGAGGGACAGTGAACTGGCCCCCTGTTTAAAAAGTTTGAGGACCCCTGGTCTAGACTATACTCAGAAATAGAAATACAGGGGATATTTAAGTGGAGGAAAGAATGCTCAGCCTCACTCATAATAAGAGAAAAACAAAATAAAAATAATTTGAAATAGCATTTGCCACCCATCTTTGTCGAATATAAATAAGCTTTATAGGGCAGTGTCCGGGGTGACAAGCACTCTTACACATTGCTGCTGCTGAGTGTCAACTGCCTTCTGTGCAGAACACTCTTGGAATAGCTATCAAAGTTTGAAATGACCACTGGCCTAGCAATTCCATCTCTAAGAATTTATTTTGTAGAAACATTCACATGCATTTGAAAAGACCTATGTACGAGATTATTTGTAGAAGCATTACTTGTAATTGGGGGCAAAATGTAAGCAACCTCTATTGTCTCCATAGGAGACTGGTTAAATTCATTATGGTTCAAACATACAATCAAATGCTCTGCTGCCTTAAAAATGAATAAGGAATTACCTTAACTGTCAGAGATTGATCTTCAGTATATTATTACTCTTAAAAAGCAGGGTGCAAAATAATGTTCGTGGTATGCTACTATTTGTATGGAAGGGGGAAAAAAGATGGTTATATATAAATGTCGTTGCCTGTAATATGTATGGATCTTTCTAGAAGGTTATGTAACATTTGGTTGCCTGACAGAAGGGGAAGAGAGGGCCCTTGGGTACAGAATGGGAGGCCTTTACCCAGTATAACTTCTGTGGCCTTTGACTTTGGAACCATATGAATGTTCTAAAAAATTAGTAAAATAATTTTTAAAAGTATTTTAAAAATGCTTTTGGGTTTTAAATGGAGGTAGTGCTTTTACATTTTTCTTCTGTGTGCTATAACTAATGTTAATGAAGTTTATGGTAATAGCTAACATTTATTCCCAATACCTATGTGATAGGTACACATTATCAGATAAAGCAGGCTGGGCATGATGGCTCACACCTATAATCCTAGCACTCTGGAAGGCCAAAGTGGGAGGATCACTTGAGCTCAGGAGTTAGAGAACAGCCTCAGCAAGAGTGAGAGCCTGTCTCTACTAAAAATAGAAAAAGTTAGCCAGGTGTGGTGGTGTGCACCTGTAGTCCCAGCTAACTCGGGAGGTTGAGGCAGGAGGATCACTTGAGCCCAGGAGTTTGAGGTGGCTGTGAGCTAGGCTGAGGCCATGGCATTATAGCCTGGGCAACAGAGTAAAAAAAAAAAAAAAATCAAAAAAGGCAGCTGAGGGACAGTGAGACTCAGCAACTTGTCCTTAACCGTGTAAGTCCATGGTTGGTAAGTAGCAGAGCTGGGATTTGATCTCAGCAACCTAGCTCCCACATTGCATTATAAACCACTACACAGGAGAGGCAAGTAAGATCTTTAAACAGGTTGGCAGAGTGGTGTATTCGTAGAGTGTATTTGTAGAGTGGTGTATTGTTTCATAGTGGGAAATTTCATATTCTGTTTTTACTATAAGGGGGATTTATTCATCCCCTCTCTCTCTCTCTCTCTCTCTCTCTCTCTCTCTCTCTCTCTCTTTTAGATTTATCCAAACATTTAGTACAGAATTACAGTGACGTAGAAGAACTTATGGATGCGGGAAATATCAATCGTACCACGGCAGCGACCGGGATGAACGACGTCAGTAGCAGGTCTCATGCCATCTTCACCATCAAGTTCACTCAGGTAAGGGCAGCTGTGGAGCCGGCTGGCTGCGTCCCTGAGGTCTTTACTTGCTGATTAGCACCAGCTGAGGACCGATCTTGCTGAACCAGGAGCAGCAGCAGGTAAAGGTGACTGACTGTCATTTTCTTGTTAATTAGAGTTGAACATGTGCTGTGCGCTGAGTTTCTCTGTGGTTACAATCACAGTCATTTGAAATGTCCTGATGTGTACCCTTAAGAAATATTTAGCAGGCTTCCCCACCCTGTTCTAGACATAAAAAAAATTTGCTCTGGGCTTAATTAAGCAAAAGTTTTCATTGTTGCAAGCTCTGTGGGAGATAATGGATTGCAAGTCAGAGCAGCTGGAAGCCAAGGTGAGTAAGTTAGTGCAGTGCATTATCGCTCCATGGCACTCACCTCGCAGTGTTGATTATGATTATTAGAACGATATTAAAGGACAGTGAACATTTATAAGTACTAACGTAAGAATTCATTATAATCAAGAGGTGGACAGCATCTTGAATACGTGTGGCAGTTGTCGAGGGTAAACATTTTAACACTGAGGCTGGTAGAACAGATGAATGCAAAAATGTAGGGTCCTCATAGGGCTTAAACAAGCGCTGGGAGTTTGGCATTTCCTAACCTGTGTTAACAGTTGAACACATCAGATATGAAAAGGCAGCATTTTGTTAATGAGAGGGGATCAGAGATCAGGAAGATGAAAACATTCTCTGAGGTCAATCAGAACAACTCTTTCTCAAATTCTCCATCTCTTGACCTTTTGTTAGACCCTTGCTTTTGGTATACTGTAGTTTAGTGGATTCTCTGCTGCTTTCTGGTTAGTGCTTGGTTAGGACATGACCTTCTCTAGTTTCTACGAGGTTTACATTTATATCAAAATATGGTAATGTTGGGGGGAGCATTTTGTTTTAAAATGTAAAACAGGTTAAAAGTCTTCAGCAAAATAAAATTTTGGTAGAATTCAGAAGCAAGTAATATGGTATTTAAGGTTTCACATTTTTTGTAATTTGTGGAACCTAATTTGTTTAACCTTGATTAATGGTTGAATGATCTTTTACGTACTTGTCTACATCTGTCATATTTTGAAAAGCCTTTGTGTTGGGAACACTGGAGATTCTAGATGAGGATATAACTAATTATTTGTTTGCTTAACATTTTTCTCTGTTGAGTGCCCCTGAGTCCCTAGTTTGCTGCTCTGCCACAATCTGATTCAGTAGGGCTTTGTCGAGAATGACTGATTTGAGTAATGGACTGGTTCTTTAGAAAGTTTGAGAATCATATGTGGTAGACTTCTGTTGCATTCAATTTAATTTTAAAAGCTTTATAATCAATGTGAAGGCCAATAAAACAACCAAATTTTTTTTTAAAAAACAATACCCCGAGACATCTCAGTGAGGAGTGGAAAATAATTAGAATTTGTGTCGTAAACAACATCAGGGCCCTTTACACCTCTTTAATTTTACTTTCCTATTTTACCGCAGGCAAAATTTGATTCTGAAATGCCATGTGAAACTGTGAGTAAGATCCACTTAGTCGATCTTGCTGGAAGTGAGCGCGCAGATGCCACCGGAGCCACCGGCGTTAGGCTTAAGGAGGGGGGGAACATTAACAAGTCCCTCGTGACTCTGGGGAACGTCATCTCTGCCTTAGGTAGGTTTGTACTTGTCTCCCGCCTCTTCTAGTCCCTCGTGGTTACTGTATTAGCACGAAGCAATTACGTTTAATGTTTGTGTTGCAAACCGAGGTAACATCCTCAAGGTTTTTTGAAGCAAAATTAGAGGGAAAAAAAACTTTACTAATTGTCCTTTCTCCCTCTTTTTTTTCTTTCTCCCCCCAGCCGATTTATCTCAGGATGCAGCAAATCCTCTTGTAAAGAAGAAGCAAGTTTTTGTGCCTTACAGGGATTCTGTTTTGACATGGTTGTTAAAAGATAGCCTTGGAGGAAACTCTAAAACTATCATGATTGCCAGTAAGAGTTTTAAGTTACTTTCCTGAATATACAGTGTTTCCTATGAGTTAGCCATAAATACTTAAGTTTGAGGTGTCTAATTAGGAAATAGCGCATTTTATATCTTAAAAAAGTAATGGTTTTTCTATTTTGAAAAAAACCCACCTACTGTGGTCCAGTTTTTAGTATCATGTTATTAACCACTTCGGTACGGCCCTCACCGGCCTCCAAACCTTGCCCACAGCCAGTACTCATAGTCCGCACGATAGTTTGTGCTGTGCATTGATGACAAATCCGTTTTGCTCTTGTCTGATGAGGAAAGCTTTAAAGCACTGAAAGCTTGTTTTACTTTACAGGCAGCTTTACTTGTAATGCAAATCAGAATAGGTAACATATACATATATGTTTTCATTATGTTATTTTTAAATGTTCACAATTTTATTTTGGTAAATGAAAAATTAGAAAAGTCATACCACGGCTGTTGGCTAAAGTCGCTGTGTGCGTTCATCTGTGGCTATCAAGTATAGTCGACGCTCGTACCGAAGTGGTTAAGTTACATAGCCTTGCCCTGGTATGGACACTGTGATAACATGCAAAAAATTCTTAGCTTTTCCTTGCTTAAAGTAGAAACTTTTAACTTCACTAAATAACTCCAAGGAGAAACTCATTATTGGGACACAAAGTAAAAATAACCCAAATTTGTTTTTTTTATTTAAAGCAATAAATGTAGAATTTAAGAATTGATAGGGAAAAAATGCCAATAAATATGACAAGTAATGCTAATACTAATATACTTTATTTCTATATTTTGGCCAATTAACTGAAAAGAGGCAGTACAGAGAAAAAGTATACAAAGGAGAGATGAGGAGAACTTGAGAACTGTTTCCCCTTCTTCTCTCCCTGTGTCCTTCCTGCCCTCATTGTTACGTATCAACCATGGAGACAAGGGATGTATACTCCATATGCAAATGTATAGCCACATAAACCTTAAAATTTGGTTGGGGGGTGGGTGGGTAGGATTAACCAAAACTTAAAGAACAAAGAATTAACTGACTCTTTTAAAACATTATCATGTTCTGAGTTTTTATAGGTGGTAGGCTTTTCCAGAATTTTAAAAATTATTTTAATTCTTATTTAATGTCAAGATTACAAATAGTCTTGAAAACCTCTTCTTCCTATATTCTCAACAGAGAAAACTCCCTAGCTGTAGTGGGGTATCTCATACTTCATTTTATAGTCAGTTCGGTGGTTGATTCTAGACTTGAGGAAAATGACAGTTAATTTGGTATTGTGAGCACTCTTTCCTATAAATCTTAGATAATTTTTAATATTCATTACTGTGGCAATGAATATTTAGTCTATCCAATGACCTGGGGTTAATCTAACTTTTAAATTACAAACCAGCTTTGTGTTAAATGAAACATGGAGTGCTGGATAAATTATTTTTTGAATTCATTCTTCACAGCCATTTCACCTGCTGATGTCAATTATGGAGAAACCCTAAGTACTCTTCGCTATGCAAATAGAGCCAAAAACATCATCAACAAGCCTACCATTAATGAGGACGCCAACGTCAAGCTCATCCGTGAGCTGCGAGCTGAAATAGCCAGGCTGAAAACGCTGCTCGCTCAAGGGAATCAGGTTGGGTTTTTCTGAGATTTATGGATAATTTTCTTTGAGTAATGGCATCTATTTCTAGATCTTAATGAGACAATTATCTCACTCATAGTATTGATTTGAGTAAATAAGTGCTAAGTAAAGCTTCGAATGAGTTAGTCCCTCCTTTACATCAGCCTCCTATTGGCCTCTGCATTCATTATGAGCTCAGCGTGTAAGATTTTATCCGCTAAAGCTGAAATGATTAACTAACTAATAGTTATCAATTATGGATGGAAATTTAGTATGCAGTAGGTTTAGCGGCATAATCTCCTTTAGTGGGAAGAAATTGAGATGCTTAGAGTAACATTTAAAATTCTACCCCATGCATTTTATGACTTTAAGATGTTTTTTAACAGAATGAAAGGCTTGTTTGAATGCCTTTCTGAATCTCTGTATCGTATCACCCGTTATAGAGGTGGTTCTGGTAGTTCAGTGACACGTGTGACATCATACGTGTGGCCTGGCTGAGGTGCTGTCCCCAGGGCCTTGCTTGGTTGTTGAAACAGCCTCGCTTCAGGGTCTGTTGGGATTCTGGCGAAGAAGCTTTGTCATTTTGTGTTTTTCACAGTAAACTTCCTCATAGTAGTCTACGCAGTATACGTGCAGAGTTACAGGCCATGAAGAATAGTGTGAGTTAAGTTCTGGTAGGCTTAGGTACTGCTGAGAAGGAAGGCCACCCTTGAAAGAAAGTCAAGGATAGCTTTTTAAATGTTGAACTTAGACTAGAGTTAGAAATAAAATAAAAATACATTTCCTCCCATTTTCTTAACCCATGAATGGAGGGTGTCTTAAGTGTATCCTGAAAAGAAATACTTTTCTTTAAATGCAAAGTGGTTTCTCTCGCACCGTGCTTTTCATGTAGGATTATGTGGCTCTTGAGCTCTTGACATCCCAATAAGTGGTGTGATCTATGAAAATATTGACAGGATGGAAACTTCACTGAGTTTCCTGTGTCCTGAAACACACCTGTCAGTTCCTTCCCACACGATGGCAGACAGGAATTGAATAGGATTTGTTCATCGCACTTAAAAATATCTCCACATACATTTTGGTTTATGATGTGAATCTTTCCTTGTGTGGAGGGAAGTTGTCAGAATGAACAGTCCAGCTGCATGTGATATTATCAGGGCCTTATAACATCAACCACAGCAGTCACTTATACAGCTTGTTATTGGGATCTTTTTTCAGTGTCTTTGAAACATTACTTATCTAAGGTAAGCCTTTAACATTCATTGATCGATAGGATCACTCAGAATACTATCTGTGAAGGAAAGTATTTGGAAAATTCTAGTGCAGCTTCTAGTACTTAACCTTTTACTAGGTTAAGAGAATGAAAGAAAAAAAAAAGAGAGATTATGCTTTTTAAACTAAACTGAAGAAATCCTTGAAAGAAGCCTTACTATATGGACAGAAAAACTTTTCTTAAAACTTCTATAAAATATAGCACTCTGGGAGGCTGAGGCAGGAGGATCGCTCAAGGTCAGGAGTTGGAAACTAGCCTGAGCAAGAGTGAGACCCCGTCTCTACTAAAAATAGAAAGAAATTAATTGGCAAACTAAAAATATATAGAAAAAATTAGCTGGGCATGGTGGGGCATGCCTGTAGTCCCAGCTACTCGGGAGGCTGAGGCAGAAGGATCTCTTGAGCCCAGGAGTTTGAGGTTGCTGTAAGCTAGGCTGATGCCATAGCATACTAGCCCAGGCAACAGAGTGAGACTCTGTCTCAAAAAAAACAAAAAAATATAAAATACATTCTTTTTGAAGAATGTCTTCAGAAGTATTAGTATGCCAAATAGTTGCCTTATATTATATTTTATGGTCTTTTTTTCTTGTTTCTATTATGACCTAAGTCCACTGTACTTAAGGGAGTGTTTTTTTTTGTTGCTATGGTTTTGGGGGTGAGGATGAAATAGATAAGTCTATTTTTAGAACACATTGAAGATAAAATTTTTTTGGTAAACTTAATACATTAAAATATAAAAATGGAAGTCCAATTAAAATTAATTTATCATACTATGAAACTGTAAATGGTTTTGAGACAATACAAGCTTATCCTAAATTAATTGAATTTGTGATGCTTAATAGAAAAAGCAGCTGTTCTTAAATGTTCATTAAACCTCTCTGTATAATTTTTTCTGAGGACATTGCTCTATTCCTAGAATATTCTATATGCTGCCATGGTTCATTGAGAATGTTACTCAAATCAAAGTTCCATTTCTAGGATGATTTATCTAAGCACAGCTAAATAAAAATCAACTTCTACTTTTAATTACTTTATATATTTGCCATGGAAAATGTCATGTGCATCAGGGCACAGGTTTTTTGTTTGTTTTTAAGAGACAGGTTCTCACTCTGTCTCCCAGGCTGGAGTGCAGTGATACAATCATAGCTCACTGTAGCCTCAAACTTCTGGGCTCAAGTGATCCTCCTGTCTCAGCCTCCCAAGAAGATGGGACTACAGACAGATGCCACCGCACCTGACTAATTAAAAAAAAAAAATTGTAGAAGTAGAGTCTTGCTATGTTGCCCAGGCTCATCTTGAATTTCTGGCCTCAAGTGATCCTTCTGCCTCAGCCTCCTAAAGTCCTGGCTTGAGCCACCAAGCCCATCCCTAAAAGCATAGTTTTGATAAATCAAAAGATTTGACGTGTATTTATTTCTCCTACTATACAGATATATATGTAGTAGTTTATATATATGAACTTTTTATTGAAGTGTTATGTAGGTATAGAAAAATTGCAAGTTAGACACGTACAGTTCAGTGAGTTTTCACAAGCTACATTCACCCATTTAACCTGCACCTACCTTAAAAGACAGATATTACGCCGGGCGCGGTGGCTCACGCCTGTAATCCTAGCTCTCTGGGAGGCCGAGGCGGGCGGATTGCTCGAGGTCAGGAGTTCGAAACCAGCCTGAGCAAGAGTGAGACCCCGTCTCTACTATAAAATAGAAAGAAATTAATTGGCCAACTAATATATATACAAAAAATTAGCCGGGCATGGTGGTGCATGCCTGTAGTCCCAGCTACTCGGGAGGCTGAGGCAGGAGGATTGCTTGAGCCAGGAGTTTGAGGTTGCTGTGAGGTAGGCTGACACCATGGCACTCACTCTAGCCTGGGCAACAAAGCGAGACTCTGTCTCAAAAAAAAACAAAACAGACAGATATTACCAGCAACCCAGAAGCCCCACTAATGCCTCTTTTCAGGAACTACCCATTCTTCCTCTCAAGAGTAACCAACTACCTTGACTTCTAAAGGCAGAGTTAGTTTTTAGTTTTGCCTGTTCTTCTTCATATGATGGATCATTCAATACTTACTCCTTTGAACTCACTTCTTTCAGTCATCATTGTGTTTGTGAGGCTCATTCATGTTGTTGCATGTAGTTGCAGTTCCATTCTCACTGCTGTATTGTATTCCATCATGCAGCTGTGTCCCAGCTCATTTATTCACTCTACTTTTGATGGGCATTTGGGGAGGTTCCTATCTGAGGCTGCTGTGAACTTTATTCTACATGTCTTATAGTGAACATATAGATGCATTTATTAGCCTTATGCCTCAGAGTGGAGTTGGTACGTCAGAAAGTATACATATGTTCAGTTTTAGTAGATACTGCCAAGTAATTTTTTAAAAGTGGTTATACCCATTTATAGTCCACCATTAATATACGTAAGTGCCAGTTCTAGTTGCTGCAGATTCTTGCCCACACTTGTTACAGTCCAATTTTTATTGTAACCATTCCTATGGATCTATACCAGTATCACAGAATAATTTTACTTTGTACTTCTCAGATGATTAATGAAGTTGAGCATTTGAATACTTTCTCTGTTCGTTTGTTCCCTTTATTTAAGCATATTTCATATATTTCTGCGTTTAATTGGGCACAGAGAGAATGTCTCTTGACTGCTGCGTCTCTCTTGAATGTACCTACAGATAAGTAAGTTAAACAATATAGAAATAAAATAAGCAACAAAAGTTAGGAAGCAAAGAAGAAAATGGGAAAGAGAAGATGAAAGTAGAATGAATTCCTCATTTTTGTAGCTGAAGTCAAAAATAAATTTTAAATAATAGAAGTATCATTATGTGTATACTTTTAAGGTAGGCGCTACATCTCAGATAAAGTCACAAAGTAAAATGCAGTTATATGGTGTTTGTAACAATGAGCAAAGGCCTAATTCAGGGGGGGAGAAAGAGGTGCGAAAACAGCATTGTGTGAGCTTAAAAAGAGTACTTTATCACAACTAAGAGTGCTGTTCACAATTAAAATCGGACATGACATCAGTTTTCATAAAGAAAACAACAAAACAGTTCGAAATAGTAGGAGGCAGCCACACATATTTGGCACAGAAAATTTTAACTCTTTTCGTTTTGTGAGAGCTCACTTAGACAAAAGGCATCACATATTTAAATAACATGCTGAAAATTTTCTCCAATCAATGTAAACCAAGAAAAGATTGCAACTCATGCAACAAAAGACCACTTTACTTTCTATGAAAAGAGCTTCTATAAAAAAATAAGAAAAACATCACAACCGAGCAGAAAATTGAACAAAGAATGTGAGCACAATTCATAAGGACTGTCAAATGGCTTTCTAAGTTGATGAAAATATGCTCAATGTCATCTGAAATACAATATATGCAGATTTAAAAAAATAGTGAAATGATATTAATATATGTGTATGTATATATATGTTTGTGTGTGTATGTACATGCATACATCAAGCGGTGGACCTGGGTATTTGACTGCATGTAAATTATCCTCAGAGTTCTTAAAAAATAGGGTGTCCTTTTCACCTGTTTGATGAGCAAAGAGGTGTACAGTGTATCAACAAGTTTGGGAGGCAGGAGGGGCTTATGTAGGTTCTTAGTGGAGTTGATGTCACTGCACTTTTATAATAGTGATTTTGACATAGTGTTACTCTTGGTTTAACGACATGTGAACTTAATCTGACTATGATTTAATCATGAATGTTTTTCTTCTAAATAGACATCTTGCAAAGAATAATTATAATAGAAAATGGTTTACTTTTACCAAAGATTTCTTTAAAAAGGACTTAGATAGGTCTTTCTTTACATGTGATTCAAAATAATTTTACAGAAAGGCTGGTGGTCATAACCACCTTTGTGTATATATTCAGTGATTATCTACTGAGTTGATAATGTAGTAGAAATATTTCAGCTTTAATTATAGATAAAAAGTCCCAACAATGGATTCTGTAAATTACCCACGTTACAAAGGGCTTTCTAATTGTTCTGAAAATTGTCAACCATATATAAACAATGCAGTCATACTAACATCTGCCACTTTCATTTCTTCAATGAAAAATATTTATTAAGTACCATCTGTGTGCAAGACAACATGTTTGGTGCAATGATGCATTGTAGTAACGTGTTAACAAAGCCCCTTTTTTCTTTACTGAGATGGATTTGACCTTGGGTTAACTTTGTGGCTTCCATCTCTGTAAAAGTGGGATGCCAGCTGTCTGTCTAGGCATCATGTCTAATGATAAAAATGTCCCCTACTTGACGAATTGCGTCTGGATTAGGATGAACTATATATAAACTATAAATGCCAGCTGAGAAGCCATAGCTTTGAGTTTCTCTGAGGGCAGTGACTTTTGTAACTGCCCTTGTAGGGACCCTGAAAATGTGTCCTTTGTAGGGACCCTGAAGGATGTGCCTTGTTAAAAGAGATGCTGGGTCCTGTGGGCATGGCCTTCTAAACCAGGGTGGCCTCCATGTGAATCTCACCCTTCACCGTAAGGGGTTACTCAAGAGGGCCAAAGACAATAGCTCCTGGACACCTCTGATCACTACTGTGTAGACTGTCATGAGGACCTTGCTCACCAGAATGAACGCCTGTGCTCCCAGCCAGGCAGCTCTGCTTTCTACTGAGTACACAGATGCCAAGTGCGGCTCACGATGGTGTTCTTAGTTTGAATGTTTAACTGAGCCTAAGAAGACTGCCTAGAAAATGTTTTTGTTTGAATAGAAATGGAAAAGTAAATAGTAATAAAAAAAAAATGCAGCCTCTGGGGAGGCCAACTTGGCAATTAAAAAAAACCACATACATATAGATGACTCATAAATTCCCCTCCTGGGAATTTATTCTGTTGACAGAGCCATGCATGCTGTAGGCAGTTGGCATAAGGACAGTCGTAGCATTGTTGGTAAAGAAAAGGTTAGAAAAAAACCTACATTTATGTTAATAGGAGAATACTAATATGAATTATAGAATATCCATACAATGGATTACTATACAGTGGAATTGGAATTGTTAAAAAGAATGAAGTAGTTTTATTTTTACTGAATTTTCCCCAAGATATATTTGTTGAGTGAAGATTGCAGTATTTAGAACAGTGTTTTTATGCCACTTATATTTAAAAACATAACAAAAACATGCTTGCATATGACTAGAATAACTACAGTTCTACACAACCAAATTGTGAAGGTGTGGTTGTCTGTGTGTGTGGGGGGAAGACTCCTTTACTTTCTTCTTCCTGATGATATCTCAGGCAGTGGGAAGGGTAGACGAATAGGAAGCACTGTGCCTTCCACTCTGGCCAGGGACTAAAATGTGAGTGCAGTCGAAGCCCCAGCCTGGTTTCATCTTTGTCTCCTGTCTCTGTTTGCTTGTCCCTCCCAGCTGTAACCTGATTGTGGTGTTTATCATCCTCACATCAATCTTTACACTTCTGCCACATAGATAAGGAAATGGGCACCCAGATTGTAGTGTAGCCTTGTCCTACATAGAATACCATCCAGCTGTGAAACCAAAGAGTTTCATTTGCATATGTCAACTTGGATGAACCTCAAAAGCCTGTGGCTGAGTAAGACTTAGTCATCATACTTTGTGAATCTTACACTTTGGGTGTATTCAAAAAGATGAATCCTTAAGATCTAGGGATTTAGGTTGTGTTTGATTTTGGTAAAATGTCAATAGGTCACATCTTTTGCTTTGCTGACTTGCATTCCAAATGTAGGTTTACCAGGATGTCATGGTTTTGAATACTATGAGATATGTATCCCATATAAAAGACTTGGTGTCAATGCTTTTTTTTGGGGGGGGGGCAAGAGCATTACTTTTTACCTTTATCTAATAGTTTCTGTGGAAATTTTAGATGATTTACTATATTAATGGAAAAATCCTCTAGGTCATTGCTGTTTATTAACTACCGATCTCTTTTATGGTTTAAATTGTAGATCGCCCTCTTAGACTCCCCTACAGCTTTAAGTATGGAGGAAAAACTTCAGCAGAATGAAGCAAGAGTAAGTGATACTTTGACTTGTTCATGACTTTTCCTAGTATTTTAAGTGCATGCTTTTTAAGACTTACTGTTTGAGACTCAGTGTCGTTTTTTATTATTACACTTAGCCTCCCCCACCTCCCCACCCCTTGGTCAGTTTTAAAGAAGCACGATGGTAGAATTCTCTGTATTGCATCACATTTTCTGTGATTTAATGGATGGGATTTGTCTGGCATGTGATGGTTAACTGCAATTAAATTCACATCCAGATCCTCCTGACAAGGCAGTGAGGTCACTTGGGCCATCGGAGTGGACAGGGGTGCCGGGTGGAGGGAGACTGTGTTCTGCATTCCTGAAGCTTAGCGATGACCCCCGGCTTAGCTTTCTGTCATCCTTTTACTTTGTTACCAGTGGGAAGAGCAGCACTTGGCCAATCTCTGATTACACTAGGGAGATGCTTAATTTATCTTAAGCTAGAGATGAGATTTGAGGCAAGGAGAGAGTGGCAGTGAGTAACGAGAAGAGAGAATGACTCTGGAGGTGTTACGACCTGAAGCCAACTTGTGTGCTTGTGCTTTTGGAAAGCCAGTTTCGTGGCTGAACCTGGTTCTATATTATTATTATTACATATTTTTTTAAAAAACCTTCTGTGAAAAGAGAAACAGACATTAAGAACGATTTTAGGAGTGGATTTTGTTCCTGGTGCCGAATGGTTAAAACAGACTAAGAAAAAAATGGATTCTGTTGGTAAAAGCTCTTTCAAGAATATACAGTATGGAAGATAAAAATTGGATTGTAGTTAGGAACTTATTGACATGTCCCTGGATAATTATGCCGATTAGTATGCAGATAATAGCATTAGTAAAAGCATTAATTTCTTAATCCCTATTTCTTCATGAAATTTCATATACTAATGCTTCAAATTCTAATTTTGAATGCTATAATTTGAGATTATATCTAGATACAGTCTTAAATTGTTTCTCAGTAATAGTTTTCATGAATACCTAACAAGTTAATAGAAACCAATAAACATATTAATCTGAATGTATTGTACATGCTGTGACAGAAATGACTGCCTATCATATTGCTAACATTGTTTAAATTTTCATTTAGTTTTTTGCTGACCCTTTTTAATTATTTGTAATCTGCTTGATTATAAATCTCATCACCTGATCACATTGGTAGAGGTGGTATTATCACCTGTTTGCATTTTTCTTAAAGTTTTAAATGAAGATTATTTGACTTAAATACAATGGTAAAATAAATCCAAGGCGTACTTATTTTTAAAGCTAGAATTATTTGACTGAATTTGAAAAGGATTGATTCGCTCACATTTCTTCAGTGAGAACATATCTGTTGGCAAAATGCAGAATCATTTATTGTTGCACGCTTTGTGTTCTCAGAAAAATTGCCAATGAGAATGTATTAACTGGTTAGTATAAATTAGTGAATTCAATATGCTAGTCTTTCCCCCTTCAGTGGGGAGAGAAGGCATAAGAATATTCCCTCTCTGAAAGAATTTTCAAAACAAAAAGCCTTGAAAGCCATCAGACTTTTACTGCTGCCTTATAAGAGTCTTTGGGGTCAGTGTCACTCAAGTGATGAAATGAAGTACTGAGGTACAGTTTCAGAGAAATCAGGACAGTCTGTCTTATCAAATGATTAAAAACAAGCAAAAAGCAAAGCTAAGTTCTTTCAGTCCTGTTTCTTTTGTTTTTCACCAAGAAGATGATAGATTTTAACACCAATGCCTAGTAAAATAAGTGACAATATTTTAAAAAAAAAAGTTAATTTAGAATTCTCAGAGTCTTATATGAGGTAAATTGAGGAGTAAAAGTGAGTGGCCATGGAATGACTGAATATAAGTGGGTGAGAGGTGTCTGGTTTTCCTCTTGGATAGACCATAACTCCAGACCCTCCCTTTCTTGTCAATTAACAAATGCTTTCTTTTCACTAGTCCACTGACTTGAGTACCCTTTGCAATTACTGTACTTCATGGTGTGTAGCAGTGAGAGTACAAGCAGATGGATTCTGTGCATACATTTTGGCCTGCAGAAATAGGGACACTTACTGGGGAGGGTGACCAGTAGGCTTAAATGGGACGGTGCCTGCCGTTGGGAATAAGGAGGTGGCAGGAATGGTGAAGGTGCCGAAAGGAAAAGGCTTGGAAGGGATGAGTTCTCCCCCTTCTGCAGCTAGTCTCTTTTAGGTCTAGGGATATTCGTTTACAGAGAATACATTTTTCATTCTTTTTTTTTTCTATCTCTCAATTCAGATATCACTTTTTGCATCTTAATGAATTAATCACTAGGATCATCTTAAAAGTTTTATGAAACTAGCAGAATATTTCCATTAACTTTTAGAAGCAATTTCCAACTGTGCTGTGTTCAACAGTTGGGGATATTTTCCCCCCTAAGTTAGAGCAGATTGGAAAGAAGTGATTTTTATCAAGCATTTTGCTTTTACTAAGAGAGTCAATTAAAGAAGCACCTTTTTAAGAAAAGATAGAATGAGATTTATAAACCCTATTAATTAGCTACAAAAGCAAATTATCTCCTAAAAAAAACCCCTGCAGCATCCAAGGTGATTTAATCACCATGTCTAATTAGAAAGGAAAATAAATCACTATTTCTTAGGACATAAAGCATAGGCAGGAAAAAATAACCCATTTAATGGGACATTGTCATCCTTGAACTTGTAATTTTGGTTAGTAATCTGAGGAAGCAGCTTTTATTTAAGTACGCTATGAAAAAAGACTCTTGTAAAATTCTAGGCTAATTGACAAATTTCTGTCTGTCCTTTCCTTTGCAATAACGTAGGTTGTAGGATGAGATCAGATTATTTGATTTATATTTGGTCATGGTTCTTTCAGAAGTAGATATTGCTATCTAATTAAAATTATAGTGCATACTTTCATGAGCTATTAGAATTTAGAAACTTTCTAGAAGAAAAGCATAAACATTTTTGTAAGGAGCAGTCACATATGTTTATTTTTCTTTTTTAGGTTCAAGAATTGACCAAGGAATGGACAAATAAGTGGAATGAAACCCAAAATATTTTGAAAGTAAGGACTATAAAAAGGTGTTTAGTTTTACTATACTGGATTATATAGGTAAAACTCCTTTTTTTCTCCTTAAACATGGCAATTGTGTGCTTTGATTAAGGTAAAATTGGTGGAGCCATTGAGTAACTTTTGTGGGATGGGGGTTCTGGTTTGATTTTGAAGAAATGAGAAAGGAGGCTATTAGACATTAAACTGTGTTTTAACAAGTACAGCTTATGTTGATATTTAAGATATTTGCTTTTGCTTGGTGGAGGTTTTTCCATTTTTGACTCAGCACACATTAGAACTTTGTTCAGTGTTTAAGGGCATCCACTTTGTCTTTCTGCTTTTGTTGAAGCCAATATAAAAGCGATATGTTAAATGAAAAAAAAATACTTCCTATGGCAGCACTGTAGAATATGCTTGCATAGCATAGCCAGAGTTCAGAAATTTCTAAACTAGTAATTTCCTATGATAATATTTTTCTGTGTATCTGAAGGACTAGACTGGGATGGTCTGCATTTCTAGCAAGACTCACCATGAAGGGATGTCAATACCATGTTTCTCCGAAAATAAGACAGGTCTTATATTTATTTTTCCTCAAGAAGACACTCTAGAGCTTATTTTCAGGGAATTTTTTTTTTTTAAGTACAGTACAACAATCTACATTTATTCAAATATAGTTAAGTTGTCTTCTTCTGGGACATCATCATAACTCTCCAAACCCTGAATTCCATCCTGAATTTCTTGCGACTCTATTTCCTTTAGAACCATTGGCTCCAATCTCTCATGTAGAGCAATAGAGCTCTCCTGGGGCAGATGAGAAGGGCTGCTTGTCTTCTTTCCCTCTCCTTGAAGAAATGCGTGGGTTGTGCAGATACGCTGCGTAGCCACGCCCATCACTAGGTCTTACTTTTGGGGTAGGGCTTATATTGTGCAAATGCTTAGAAATCCTGCTAGGGCTTATTTTATGGATAGGTCTTATTTTTGGGGAAACATGGTAATAGCCTCCATTTTCATACCTGACGCTTCAAAATACAAGTTTCTTTTTGTTCATATTTTCTGCTGAGTTGGTAGTAAACTTCTGAACTCTACTGAGAGTCAGCCACACCAGGATTGAGGTTCAGATTTGAATTGTGTCCTTTGATAGCAACTGGCTGACTTTAAGCCTGAGGAGAGGGGATTAGGGGATTCAGGGGCTATTGAATCTGAGGTTTGTTTTTGAGGTCTGCTTAGGTGAAACTTTCCCAAAGGACTAAAATCTCCGTTTGATGTTGGTGAGGTTGGCTAAATGAGTTTTAACTGAATGTCTTGGGAGAACCCTAACTTGGATCACCTGCACATGAATACGACACACCCAATTACTATTGCATAGGGGTGCACTTCTGAAGGCCTGGATTCACCGTTGAGTTCTGCATCTGACAGCTGTTTCAGAGTGCAGGGTCACTGTTATATTATGTAAAGTTGTCTTCATGTCATTTAGGCAATGTGGCCTGCTCTGGGCGTTAAAAAGGCTGTTTCTCATGATGTGCTTAAGTTTTAGTTGGTGGTGGGGTGTGGTGCTCCTAGAGAGAGATTCTTTCAAGCTACTTCTGCACTGCATTAAGTGAGGGGTCAGGCCTTTCTTCCCTCTCTCTTGATTGTAATGGTAATGCCACATTATTTTGAAGTGCTTCAGCGTTTCCTTTGTTAAGAGATTTTTGTGCAGGAAACCGAACAAGGACTTCACTCATATTTCAGAATAGTCATGTGTGGAATAAGCTTGCCAAAGATGTGACCTTTTTTGCTGTTGTTTAAGTTGCATCCACTCTAAGAGGTGACGCTGCAGCCCCTGAAGCCCCTGTCATTTGACTTTTCATGGCATGATATGACTTTCCGCGGGAAATCTGCTACGGAAGGAGGACGAAAATCTGTTCCATTTAAGGAAAAAAAGAAATGAAATAGTTAGCTATTCGAAGAGTCATTAGCATGTATCGTGCCCGTTAGCACAGGAGGCAATGCAGCAAGAAATTGAAAGATTTAAGCTTCATCTCTTCTGCTGCTGCGGTGGCGTCTCTCCTTGCACTGTGTACTCCCCTGCGAAGGCGGCCACGCCGAGTCCTGGCAGGGAGACCCTTGAACAAATCATGCTTTTTCTCATAAGGTAATTTTGGGCACAGGAGCTAAATCCTCCTCCAGTTCCAATCCTACTTTTTATAAAATCCAATTATTTTTATTTTTTATGACTTCAGATGAGAAGGAAAAGATGTGATAGGTGCCAGGTATTAAAAAGGCTATGAGAAAGGCAAATGCTATTTCACTTTTTCCCTTGTAAGCCCATTTTAGATTTCTCTGCTGGTACTCGTGCTTTAAGCCTGTAGCCGTTTTTTCTGCTCACATTTGATATCTTAAGGGCTGTCTTCAACGCTTATTGGAAGACAGTGCCTGAGGGCTAGGGAGAGGAAGAAGGCTACTCAAATGCTTTTTATGAAAACATTCTTTAGAAGTTGATTGTTACGGGATGGGTTTGTATCTGTGCTTTGTGCGATCCTTTTCCGTATTTCTGCCATGTGTGTTTCTATCAGTCAGTTTCTATCAATTCCAGTAATGCTGCATAAAACCCACCCCAGCTCAGTGACAACTCACTATGCTGTATGCCTGCTTGTATTTCCTGTGAGTTATGAGACTTGAGATTAGTTTATCAGCGTACATACATCCTGGGGAGGTACTGCAGGTATAGGGGAATCCTCTCACATGGGAGTAGAGTCTAAACTCTAAAGTCAGTGTGTAGGGCAAAGGACCCTTGAAGTCAGAATTACCCTTGAAAGTTCCCTAAATGTCCCTGAAAGTCACCACATCCTAAGCTCTTGGTTGCTCAAAAATAAGTAATAACTCTGTTCCTTTCTTTTTGTATCTAGTCTACGGTTTCTCTTGCCCTGGATGAGTAGAATCTAAGGTTCTGCTGCATGAGGGTGGAAGGAGAGTGAGAGACCGTCAGGTGGGCATATATATACTCCGCAGCAGGCTCTGACTGTGTTCAGCAGAGCTCGTGGCAACGTGATGCTGGAGGCTGGAGCCTCTGGCTTTGATGTGCAGAACTTAGAACTCGGATCTTAGGCTTCTGTTCCCTTTGTGACTCACTGGGTCACGACACCCATTCGGAACTGGCACATACCCTAGCTCCCAGCTTGGAAATCGCAGTGGATGGCAACCTCTTCCTTATATCCAGGTTAACAGGGTAAGAGATCACAAAGCACTGAGTTATCTTGGAAGTAGTTGACAGTAGAACATGTGTTTATCTTGAAAAGGCAGGTCTTAGGCAGTTAGGTTGTGACAGTGAGTTTTATTATCCTCCACACTGTTCTCTGTGTCTCTACTTTCTTGCCTCTTAATCTGCCTTCCTCATTTTCATTAATCTTCAGTTTCTGAGGTCTAAACTCCCTTGCCTGGCCCCAGAGGCCCTGGTCTCCTCTTCAGTTTCATCAGCCCTGCTTATTCTCTGTGTGCCCATCACCCTAGCATCCCTGCCCCACCCTGCCTGCTGGCTGGGCCTCGTGTGCCCTGGGGAACTGTTTTCTGTTTGTTTTTTGTTTCTCCTGGCCTTTGCTGGTGTCACTCTATCTTTTAGGATGCTTTCACCATCCACCTGAAAGCCCTCCCTGCTCTCTCTTCCTGCTCCCTCCTCTTCCACTTCCCAGTTAGGATGAATTTTGTTTCCTGCAGCATTTGGTTTTACCTCTATCACAGTATCCATCATCATCTGCATTAGGTGGTATTGGTTTCCCCCTCTTTCTGCCAGCTCTCCCACACGGAAACAGGAGCAGGATCTGGTCAGGGACTGTCTCTGTTGTTCTGTGAGCCAGTTCCTAGAATGCTGCTTCTCACAGAGCAGCCATGCAGCGAAAATTTACGAGATTAAGTTAGTGTCAAGAAACAAAAATACAAACCTTTGTATAAATCTGCTAGGGCTGCCAAAACGAAATACCGCAGACTGAGGGGCTTAAACCACAGAAATGTATTTGCTTACAGTCCTGGAGGCCAGGAGTCCAAGATCAAGGTGTTGGCAGTGTGGGATTCTCTGGAGGCCGCCCTCCGTGGCTTGCAGATGGCGCCTTCTCCGTGTCCTCACGTGGCCTTTTTTCTGTGCGCCGGCACCCCTGGTCTCCCTCTGTGTGCCCTAATCTCTTCTTATAAGGACACCAGTCAGATTGGGTTAGGACCCATCCTAACAGCCTTGTTTTAGTCACCTTAATTAATTAATTTTAACTTAATTGAAGACCCTATCTCCAAATACACTCACAATCTGAGGTACCCGGGTTATAGGGCTTCAACATATGAATTATGGGGCGGCACGGTTCAACCCGTAGCAACTTTGAACCGTGCAAATCTGATGACCGGGTGGGAGCAGTGGCTGGGCATTTTGTGCAGGCAGCAGCCTGCGCTGGCCATGCCCCTCCCTGTGTGTGGCATTGTGCTACTCTCGTTCCTGCTTGAAATGCTCATATATCACTCTGTGTTCTTCTTGGAGGGAATCTGGCCGAATTCTTCATGATTATAGCCCAGTGCCTCATTTGGGTCCGTTAGATCTTTGCTGTTCAAAGTGTGGTTCATGGACCGGCAGCATCAGCGTCATCTGGAAGCTGGTGCGAGCTCTCAGGCCCCCCTCCCGTCTTCCTGAGTCCTAATCCACCCTGAAGTATGAGCCCCAGGTGATGTGTCCGCACCTTCAAGTTCAAGTGCTGACTCAGATCCACCGAGGAAAGGTGGAGCGGCCTTGGGCTTCTGTATGCTTGGATTTGTTCTTCCTTTTCTCCTGCCCTGCCCTGTATCGTGTGTATGTCGGGGCCTGACCCCTGTGGGCTGCCCTTTCCTGGGCTGCTGTGGGACCCCCTGTGGGAGATTGGAGAGAAAGAGACCAGACTCGACTCTTCTCTGAGACCCCAGCTCCCACCTCCCACAGTGACCACTGGCCCATAGTGGTTGCAGTTCTGCCTGGTGACACAGCCCTGGTGTCCAGAAACACCCCCTGCTCTCTTTGTGCC